ATTAATTCACAACAAATATTATCACAAGAGTAACAGTAGTTTACATTTTGATAAAGTATCGATTACAGATGATATGGCGAAAGTGGTTGTTGAAAGGTGTTGGTGTAAAGAAGATAGAAATATGTTTGAGAAGTATTTTTATAGATACAGTAAAGCTTATGAAAGTTACTCTAATTGCACATTTATAGATAAAAAGACACTCTTTGATTTCCAGCTTTACTATCACGCATTTGTCAATTTGTGTCTTTTAAAAAGTTGGTCGCCTAACGATAGAAAAATATTTCAATCCTACTATCCCTTCTTTAAAAAGGATTGGGCTATGTATACAAGACAGGTTTATATAGATGATTATTTAGTAAACGAAATAAAAAGTAAAATGACTTTATTAGATAAAACAGATAAAGAAATAAGAGAATATTACAATGTTTATTATAAAAAGTTAAATGATTTTGAATTGGGTGTTGATATATCTAAGTATGGAATTGTTAATGATTTAAGTTTCTTTAGAGATGAATTAATTGATTTGTATTTTAAGAGCGGCAGAAAAAATAGAAAAAGAGAAAATAAACTTAATTAGAATTTTATTTAACCCTCATTTTATTATGTTTGGACTGACTTCAACTTTAATAAAGTTTGTATTTTTATTAGATGCTGTTGTAATACTCAATCCAGAGAGATTTTTAAATAAAGTGGGTCTCAATCAAACAAATACAAATAATTTAAAACCTCTTAATAGAAAGATTGCAGAAACTATAAAGAATATCAGAATTAATTCAGAATTTATACTTCTCTTTTTAAATCCTGTGTGTTTCTTATGTGAATTTATTGCTGGTTAAATAAATTTTTTTGTTAAGAAATTTTATTGAAAAATGTTTAATAAAAAAGTTTCAATAACTGAATTTTATAAAACAATTAGATTGGATGATAAGTCAATTATTAAATTATGTGATGATATATTAGATAGTATAAGTGGGTGTAAGGTATTAGAAAATGATTATTATAAAGAATTAGTTGAAATGACAGAGATTTTAATTTCTGATAAAAATAAAACACGTTTAAATGCTGGTAGAATTTTAGCAACTTGTATTTTTAAAAAAGATGAATTTGATGTTAAGAAATGTGAACTTTATGATTTATTTAAAATTAAAATAAACAGAATATTAAATAATTTAGGTGAAGAAAGTAATTTGATAAAAGAAAGTAATTATTTAATTGATAAAAATAGTATAATTGAAGAAAATAGTATAATTGATAAAAAATATTTTAAAATTCAACAGGGTTTAAGAATATTAAAATTTAATCAAAATGATTTAAAAGAAATTAAAGAAGTTTTATTTAATTTTGAATCAATGTTATTTAATTCATCAATTAAAGCAGTTGAAAGTTATGGTAGAGAAATTTATAATCTTTTATTAAATAATTTTGATAACTTTAAAATCTTAAAATATGATTGTATTTATCACTTGTTAAAATTTATACTCAAAAATCAAATTGAAAATTTATATGGAATATTAAGGTCTATTTTCAATGGCATTAATCATAATGATAATTCTTTAATAAGAGAATTTCATACAGATAGATTTACTAGACAGTTAATTTTAATAACTAAATTATTTAAAAATCTTAATCAATTTGAAAAGTATAATTTAGTTTGTATAATTGATGAGGATTTTTATAGATTAATTGAAAGAATCAAGAATAGAGAACTAATTGTAAGTAAAGAAACTGTTAATCTTATAGTTGATTTAATGAAAGAAATAAATATCTTTTTTGCTTAAAATTTTTTATCCCCTACATGAGTGAAGATAGTTATAATGAATTTTTACTCAGCAAGATTTATGAAATTTTTTCTAAGAAAGAGGCTGTTGCTTTTATTGAATCTAATGAAATTAGTAGACCAATAACAATTAGAACTAATTTATCTCTAATAAGCAGGAAAGAATTGATCTCTGCTTTGTTAAGAAGAAAAATAGAATGTGATGTTCTAGATTGGTGTGAAGAAGGTATTGTTATTTTTAGTTCTAAAGTTCCTTTAGGCGCCACTCCTGAGTATTTAGCTGGTTATTACATTATACAAGGAGCTAACTCATTTCTTCCCGTTTTAAATATGGAATTATCTAAAATTAAAGATTCTTATAAAGTAGTAGATCTTTGTGGTGCACCAGGAGGAAAGAGTACACATATTGGTGCTCTGATGGAAAACAGGGGAACTTTGTTTGTTAATGAACTTAATAAAGACAGATGTTCATCTTTAATATCAAATCTTCATAGAATGCATGTATCCAATTCTATTATTAGTAATATTGATGGTCTTAAATTTGATGTTGGTAAAGTTGAAAGAGTATTATTAGATGCTCCATGCTCTGGTACGGGTATAATATCAAAAGATCCATCTGTTAAAACATCTAAAACAGAAAAGGAAATTAAAGATCATCAAAAGTTACAGAAAAAGCTTATATTACATGCTTTTGATATGCTAAAAAATAACGGTATTTTGGTTTATTCAACCTGTTCAATTTTAGTAGAAGAAAATGAGGAAGTTATTGATTTTCTTTTATCTAAACGAAAAAATGCTAAAGTATCAGATTTAGACGTTGCTATTGGAAAGGATGGGTTTAGTAAGTTTAGAGGAGTAAGTTATAATGGAACAATTTCCAAATCTAAAAGAATATTCCCCCATGTGCAGAACATGGATGGATTTTATTACTGTAAAATCAAAAAAGTTGAATAAAATTCTTTAAAGAATTTCTTTGGAAATTTTTGATCAAAAAATTTTTTTAAAAATGTCATACTATACGATTAATTATTGGCATAAATAACACTTATTGAATTATTGTTTAAATAACAATCAAATTTGGAAATTAATTTATTAATAATTAAAATAAACTCTTAATTATAAGATATTTAAACAACCAATATTTATTTGTTACATCAATCTTAAATAGAAAAATTATTTAAAGAATAAAAAGATGTTAAAGATAAGTAAGCGTTGACCAAAAAAGATTATTAAAAATTAAAATCTTTGAAAGATTGTTATCAATTTTCCATAATTAAACTCTTTGATTGGAAGTAATAAAAGAAAAAAAAACATAAAAACGTATGGGGAAAAAATTAAAAAGTACGCGTTCTTCCCAAACAGATGAAGAAAAAGAATTTAGCAGTAGTGGAATGTCACAGTTTTCATTACCACGTTATTATGGATATAACACTTCAAACCAGCAAGATCCCGATTTGTTATTTAGTAATAAAAACAAGAAGTATTATGAAAATCCATTAGCAGCTAGTAGTGCAAGAAGAATAAGACAAATATCAAGTGAATATCAAGTGTGGACAATGAAAAACAATCAACTGCGGCAAAAGACAAATCCCTCAAAAATGATTAAACAGAAGAATGTGCCTATATTTAAAAACCAATATTCAGATGATAGAACTATCAAACTAGAACAAACAAATAAGGAAATTTTTGATAGAAGAAATAATCAAAATAATTTAGTTAATGATAGAGTGTTTAATAATAACCAGAAAATTAAACTAAAAAGTTTAGAAGAGTTTAACATAAGCATTCGCTTTGCAATACTAAAATACGATAGGGAGTTTGATAATCTGAATATAAATTTAAAAGATTATAATTTAACAGAAAAAGAATATTCAGTGTTAAAAATTTTAGCGGCGTTAAAGAAATTTTTTGGAAAATAAATTTGTTTTAAACAACATAAACAAAACATAATGTTTCATATTCGTATGAAGATAGTTTTAAGATAAAACATAAAAATAATGTTTCAAATATGAAAGTGTTATCAATAATTACCCTGAGTTTAGTTAGTATTGAATTTATATTGTGTTTGAAGAACCCATTTAAGAAAGCTAAAAAATCTTTATCAAAAACTATTGTATCTTATAAGGCAAAGGCGAAAAAATATAAAAAGAAATTAAAGAAGTGTATGAAAGCAAATTTACAATCAAAATGTATGATGTCAGGAGGATATCCTGGAATGCAAAATATGATGAATGGTGGAGGAATGGGTGGTTTTAATATGATGAATGGTGGATTTGATCCTCAATTAGCTAATATGTGTGCACAAATGAATCAAGGTGGATTTAATCCACAATTTAGTGGTAATAATCCAAATTTTCCAATGGGTGGAATGATGTCACCTATGAATGGTATGGGTGGTATGAATAATATGGGTGGTATGAATGGTATGGGCGGAATGAATGGTATGGGTGGTATGAATAATATGTGTCCACCTATGAATAACATGAATCCAAATATGGGTAATATAAATCCAAATATGGGTAATAATATGATGCCACGTATGGGTAATAATATGGGTAATAATATGATGCCTCGTATGGGTAACAACATGGGTAATAATATGATGCCACATGCGGGTAATAATTGTAATTTCGGTATGAATAACGGAATGGGAAATGGAATGAATCCAAATCAAAATTTTATGGGACAAATGCCACCACAAAACACAAATGGAATACCTAATTTCAATCAACCCCTGGGAAATAATAATCCATGCCAATCAAATTTTCCCGGACAGGGTTCTTCAGTTAGTGCACAAAATTATGACTGTGAACCCGCCATATGCCCAGGATCAAATATAGCCCAAATTTTGTGCACTTGTAAAATATTAGGAACTAATACTTTAGGATCATGTTCGTGTCATGGAAACAAATAATAATTAAAAGAGTTCATTTAAGTCTTTTTTATTTTAAACCCTTTAAATGAGATCTGGAATTAGTGATAATGTTAAATTTGGAATTACAGGACCAGAAACATTAGAAAGTAGTACTAATAAAGGTATTAAAGCATCAAATGATCTTAAAGTATATTTAGAAAATTGTAATTTCTATGAATCTGAAGATCAAGCTATTACTAGAGAAAGAACTATGGGAAAGATTGATCATCTCTTAAAAACTTTTGTTAAAAAAATAAGTAAATCAAGAGGTGAGTATAAAGATTGTGGGGGTAAAATATTTACTTTTGGTAGTTATAGATTGGGTGTACATGACAAAGGTGCTGATATTGATACATTGTGTGTTATTCCTAGACATGTTAGTAGAAAAGATTTTTTTAGCACATTCTATGAAATGTTATTAGAAGATGATAACGCTAAAGAAGTTTCTAAGGTTGAAGAAGCATACGTGCCAGTTATTAAAATGAAATATCAAAATATTCCAATTGATTTGACTGTTACAAGAGTTCCACTATCTGTAGTGGATAACGAAATTAATTTATTAGATGAAACTTTATTAAAG